TTATAATAAAAAATATAATTTGGTTAAAGCTCATTATGGTCCCTCTATTTTAAAAAATTTCCCTTTAGTCCCTAAAATTTAATATTTAACTTTTTTTAGTCTTTTTCATTATCTTTTTACATATATAATATATTAAATAATAAAAATTTTAAAATAAGAGGACTAAAAAGAAACAACTCACAAAAACTCAAAAAAAAAAAATTTTTCACATCCCCACATTTCTCTTTGCTCAAAATAAAAAAAATTTGTGCCGATAAAAAAAAGAAAAATTTTTTTTTTTTGTGTGTGTGTAAGTCTCGTCTGGAGTAAGTGCAAGATACATATCAATGCCTCGCTGATTGCTTCAAGATAAAAAGGCAGCCGTTTCCTGCACATATTCGCATAGTTTTTTTTTTATATTAATTTTTTGATATATGATAATCATATTAAATCTCAATTAATTTAAAATCGAGTCGCATTAGATCTTATAAAGAGAAAAACTCTTGCATGTTTTTCTATTCACAAAATTCAAAATTCAAAATCAAAACTTTATTTAAAAAAAATCAAACTCATTTTACAAGGATTCATAAATTGTTAGTCAAATTCGACATTACATATGCTAACCTTACACCATGGGGAAGTGAAAATATGAACTTATTAATTAATAATTAAATTATTAATAATTATTAATTATTAATTATTAATTAACCTGGCACCTGACACTACAGAACTTTCACTCGGATTCAGAGATCATTGGTCAAATTCGCTTGGTTTGACACTACAAATGCTAACCTTACACCTTGGGGAAGTGAAAATATTAATTTATTAATTATTTTTATTAATTAAACTAAATAAAACTAATATTTTCGGGAAATTGTAATCATATTCAAATTTTGGCATTCATTCACTTCTTCCAACTCTGAGAATTGATACAGACAGACATCCAACAAGAAAAAAGGGAGGATTCCTGAGATGTGTATCTTATCAACGGCATTGGATGCACGAGAAAAAATGTCTTTTCTAATACTGACCTAGGATAGCATCAATCAATAAATAAAAAGCAAAGCCAAAAAATATACATGTAGAAGAAGATTTTCTCGTTTTACCACTGAATTGCACCATATTACAAAATACATAGCATTGGATGGGGATTGGGCCACAATCCGAGACTACAAAATACATCTTTTGATGGAAGAATAAATAGTATAATGATTGGATTTTAGTACTAACAGAATGTTGTCAAAAACTTAAATAACTTAATAATTATATTTTTTCATTGAAAATAAGAGATTTTGAGTTCAAGTTGTATGATATGCGAGTAGGATGGAATAAGAGACATGAGATGATTACCTTTCATTGTGCAATCAATATTAAAAAAAAAAATACAACAGAATGTTGATACATGAACTTTTCTCTTTTGCTTTGCTAAAGCAAAGATTTGCCCCTTGTCTCTAATACAATAAATATTTACAAAGACATTATTTAATTAATTTATTTGGCAAAGCATTTGATTGGAAACAATTCTAAAACATGAGTTGTTTCCTGCCACTGTTTTTACATCTTATTTTATATTACAATTCCAATTATGGAAAAAGAGTATAGTTTAGTTCATCTCAGACCTTTTTGGTCAAACCCAGAGATCACCTTCATAGCACCGTCTCAGCCATCCCTGATGAGCAAGATGCTGTAGGTCCTCCTCGGGTCTGTCTCGTATTGTAGGAGTTGCAATTCAGGCATTTGTGAGCAATTGTATGAAAATTTACATGGGAATTTGCTCCACAGTCATTGCAAAGAATCCACACCTAATTTCAAACATAAAATAAAAAATAAAAAAAAGGATTGTACTTAAGAACTGGTCCACTATTCCCATAATCAAAGCTAATGCAGTATTACTTAGTTTCATACCATCTTATTTTGGTATACTGCAGGCATTGGATTTGAAGTAATCTGCATTAAAATTCATGAAGACCAAGGTTAAGAACATTACAATTCTGGAAAAAGAGAAAAACAAAACTCCTAAATACCTCTCGATCAAGCATTCTCCAGACATTTGTCATATCTCTGATGGACTTTGAGCAAACTGGGCAAGAATACCTGAAATACCAAGGAATAAGTTAACTATAGTATGCTTTCAGAACTAGAATTGGAATGAAACAAGAATTGCCTTTACTGATTATCTCAATATAATTGCAGTGTAAGCATTTTGTTCTTCACCATATTTGTGCATATATGGAAATATGTGATAAAGGAATAGACAATTTGCTCACCGGTAATGTTGCTGCATCTCTTCAAGACATTCCAAATGTATGGTGTGCGCACAAGCTAAGACAGTTACATCCTTCATTGTGTCAAACAGAAACTGCAAAAGAGGAAGACCTCATCCTACTTAAAAAATAACATTTCCCTCATTTTTCATAGAAGTCAGATGAAAACTGAATCCTTTAGTTTACCTCCAAGCAAACTGGGCAGTTATGGTGCATTGCTCTCTGCACACAATGGTGTGCATCCTTCATCAATTTCGAATAGCAACAACCTGTAGGAGAAATTTCAATTTCTCAAAACATAAGTTCAATAAATTGCCGAGGAATCAAAATGAGAGGAAAAAAAAGAAAGGAAAGATTTTCTGTCACTTACCACATTTGTTACAATGGAAAAAGTTTTCCTCGCCTCCAGTTCTGCAAAGCAATCACCAAGAAAGAGGTCAGAAGAAAAAAAAAAAAAAAAACAAAGTTCTCAAACATAGTCTTGACACGGAATTTATTTAACATTAGGCTATAGGAATTCTTAAAAACTAGCTACTTAGCTGTTAAGAAGTACATACAAAAACAGAGAAAACTAAGACAAAATCGAAAGCCTTACCTGCATATTCCACATTCATCACAGTGGTATTGATTTTTTGAAACCTGAAAAATGGCCACAATTCATTACATAAACAATTATTCAGCTCTGCAAACTAAGAGTCCTATGATTATTATTGATGACAAGACTTGAAAGGGAAACTTACATTGTCATCGAAGAATTTGCATTTTCCACAGAAATACTTCCCCATGCAAACTCCACAGTTAATGCAGCATTGTTGTACCTGAAAGAACACAACACAAGAAGTCAAGAATGTTAGAAACCAAATCAAACATTTCTATTCTTCAAGAAATGTGTTGTTGTATTTTCAATTTTAGGAGACTTACATCTTGTTCTGTGTCACAGAGGGAGCAAATCACCTGAAATTAGAATGAATATTAGAATTAGACAATTAAAAGGAAAAACAAATATTGTAGAATCAGAACACATAAAAAAATAAAAAGGAAGACGATGCATATGACTTTCAGTTATAAAAACTTCCATACAAGAAATATCCAGTTGCTATGTGAAGTTTTAATCAGATTAAATTTTCGTCACCGTAAAAGGAAAATTCAGAAGGTTACGGAGTTATTCTCTTTTCTGTCTGAGTCATTTGCAAATTGGTCCAGGGCTTATCTACTTTTTTTTTCAATGTCTTTTACCTAAAATTCATGGATGATCCATCATCCCTGAGACCACAAATATACAAATCCATTTGCTGTTGGAGATGCGAGGACTGTGAAAAAGCACAAAAAAGAGAGAAAAGAAATTTCCAGATTGACAACTGCTGAATAAGGAAGACTTAATTAGCAGAGTAGTATTTTAACTTTTCCGAAAAAAATTTCAAGATCAATTGGACCATATAATTATCCATTCCTCATTATCCATTTGCATAACAAAACATTTCCACGTAAGAGGAAAAAAAAAAAAAAAAAAAGGAGAAAAAGGTCAAAATTAAATGAGAAGGCCAGTTGTTTTTAACCATTGTGAAAGTATTCCCCGTGAAGGTTGTAATTTATACG